GAAGAGTCGTTTATATAATAAACGAGATTAGGGTTTCTCTTAGGGTTGTCGTCATGGGTTGCTTTGGAAGCAAGTCAGGGAAATCCGGTTTTTGATGAGGATTTAGGGTTTCCAAAACTAATGAATTTCATTAATTTTACCATAATCACCCTCAAGAATGTGAATTTCCCATTATGGTCCCTTGGACCCCGCTAGGGGCACTGCCCCTAGACCCCGCCAAAGGGGCGCTGCTCCTTTGGAAACCCCGGACCCAGGGGTGCTGCCCTCGGACCCCCGATTTCTCGTCGAACTAGCTTCTAATTCGATCTTATACATGCATGCACTTCATACAAACCCGTACATATATTATAGTACAAATTATGAAGCCTCTTAGCTCACATGTTAGTTCCAATTGTATAAAATGACCCGGTGACACTAAAATCACCAACAATTTGTGCATACTTTTGCAATTTGTCTGAAAACATTAACCTCCTTATTTTGTTTTCATTTAATCTATTTAGCTAGTGTCTATACTCTTGATTAAAGGAAAAGGTCTACGTTTTTTTGACTTTCAATTACATAAAAAGCCATAGGAAGTGGTATGGAATTTTTTTAGAAAGTTGAGTCACTGATAATGATTGTCTTGAGATCAAGGAACCCACCAATCAATAAAATATTGCATCAGGTTGTTGAGATCATGTGTTTGTCTTAGAAAGAAAGTAAAAGAAGGTGGTTTGGTTAAGAATTTTAAAGAATATAATTCTTTAAAATCATTTATACGTGATGCTTTTTATCTGTACAACACTTGATTTGCATCTACTTTTAGGTACAAGCCGGATGTAATTAAAGAAGACATGATGCTTAGGCCCGGTGTTTAAAGGAGTATATGATTGTACATTTTTTACAAGGGTATTTCTGTTTTAGATTTTACAGGTGTAAGTTCCTTCTTTTTGTTGTTCTTTGTTTAAGGTCCTTTGACCAATTTACCCCTTGGTGCTGTTACAATGGTGGTGCTGATATAGCAAATCGTTAATCTTCACAGAGAAGAAGAGTAGAAGAGTATGAGGGTTTTTGGTTGACTTTTGGTGAAGAAGAGGAGGTGTGAAGAAGATAACATGCTAATTGAACTTTGTGACCTATGCCAATATTCAATGCCTAAATAATGGCTAAAGCGAAACAAAAAATAAATAAGCGTTTCTTCTAATTAAGTGTGTAAAATATACGACTTTTTTTGGTATTTGCCCTTCTAACTAATTTTTTTTATCCATGCTATGTTATCTACTGAAATTTTATTTGTTAATGAAAGTAATGAAATTTGAATATAAAAATTTCCAACACAAGAGACAGAATGTATTGGTTTTGATGAGACTATTATCTATATATACTAAACTAGGAAAAGGCCAGAAAAAAATAAATGACATTGCTGTTAATTTAGACTGAGCAGTTATGTTGCTGTAAAAGCTTTTTGAAATGAACCTACAAAGCTCGTTTTTAAAGCCGAAGAACATAAGAGCATCATTTAAGCATTACACATATCTCTAAGCCGAAGAAAAAAGCCTCCAAACTTTTCTAATCTAAATAGGCTCAAAATGTAGATAATCATAGGCTTGTACTTGCAATTTTTTATCAGAAACAGGGGTCGACCTTCATAGGCAACACATACACGGGGATATCTCGACCAACCATGAAAATATGTATGATTCAAGCCAATACAATAATGTTTCATTTTTATCAAATTTTACAAAAACGTTTTAAGGACGTTTCATTTTTGTGAACTTTTACAAAAATGTTTTAAAGTACAATACCTTAATAAGAAAAAACTCATGCAATAGAAAGTCAATTACCATATAACAACATTTCATACCCAGATCATCTTCTCGTCACAACCCAATAACATGTTAAGATAGGGGTGGTTTTGGTTAACTAGTTTTGCGATATTAAATAATCATAATAAACAAAGTTTGATTACAAACAAAGAAAAAATAAAATAACCAAAAAAAAATATTTTCATATATTGTTGGAGTATTAATATTAAAATTTATTTTCTATCAATTATAAATATAATATGATTATTAATGTTAAATTGATGGGTGAAAATTTATCTTTTGTGTTGTAGCTTGTGTGAAAATTATCTTCCAAAATTGGTTATTTGAACGCTAAATAATTGGATAATTACAATCTGATTATATAATAATAAGTAAGATTTTGGTATTTGTATATATTGAAGAAAAATATTACCTGAACGTAGCACAACTACCCCTCTGCCCCAGTAAGCATGCTAACTATCTCCACTGTTCCCTGGAAGCATGCTAGCATACCATCAGCTTGTTCCACCTCAGATTGCCTTAGAAGTAACAAAATCTAGAAGAAGAAATTGTAAAAAAAAAAAAAAAAAAATAGGACATTCTTATTTAACTAAGATTTCGTCATTTGTCCTGTGAAATATATATAAAATTAAAGCAGAAAGAATTTTTTTCATATAGGGTACTCTTGTAATAACATAAAGATTATGATAGAAGATGAAAGGTGGCACCTTTAGATCTAAAGGTGTTCCATGAAGTGAAGATGAAAATAGCAGCTTCTCTCAGAATCATCTTCAAACCCACTTGAATAAGACTCAATCTGGTTTTCAATCTAATGAAGTAAAAATATATAAATTTTATCATAAGCCCAAAGGTTTAAAAGAAATAGATCTACACGGTATTTACTTAATGTACCGTATTTGGTAGACTGAAGTAATTTTTCCGTTTGGATTCCGGAATGGAATCCGTCAATGAATCTTGTATTCCAAAATTACCCTTTATCACTGAAAAAGGCTGGAATACCCAAGATTGCTTCTGCGACCTGTATCAGTATGCCACGTCATATTTACCATATATTATAATATAAGGGAAAATACCGCTAATAGACAAAAAAAGGGGGCCAATTTCAAAATTTAGTCATAAAAAATGACTTTTCCACTTATAGACATGCATTCCGCGGAGGGCCCTCTGCGGAGAGGGGTATTTTTGTCATTTGCCCGTCTTCTTTTTGACAAAATCGGACCCTCCTCTTTGGTCCCCCCCCACTGGTCCCCGATTCCTCTTTGACAAAGACAGTTCTCCGCATCGACTTACCACCGAAGATTCCGGCGACCACGATAGCAAACGACGTCATTTTCCGACGTCCAAACCGGCGACCAGGACTTCGATTACGACGTCATTCCGGCAGTAATGGAGGACAATCTCCCCAATATTTTGAACGACGGTTTAGGATCCCGGGTATTTCTCACATTCCTTTCTTTGGATTAATGTTGTATATGTATGAAATTTGTTGAAAACCGATTATATTAAACTGAATAAATAGGCAAAATTAAAAAATTTAGATAGCAAAAAATGGAGTTCGACAGGTGGGTTCCGGAATGGTGATGATCCATTCCGCGGAGGTGTATGTCTCTCCGCGGAGGGTTATATCAGTCCGTAGAGCACCATCCGCGGAGTAAAGTATGCTGTTTAAAAAAGCGGATTTGGTCTATCCGCGGAGGTGTTGGTCTATCCGCAAAGCCTTCTCCGCAGAATGACCTAAAGCCTCCGCGGAATGATCACATTTTCCGCGGCTAACACAATCACAACGACAATTATTCGAAGCTTCGCCATTTGGAATATTCTTAGGAATGCATATCCCACATGGTGATCCGTTACTTGTGCATTTGATGATGTTGCATGAAGTAAGGTCTCAAGAAGTATTTGAAATTGGGAGGTTTTTTTTTATATACAAGGGACGCATTTGGATTTTGGTGAAACGGAATATATTCTCATTTGTGGTTTAAAAGTTGGTCCTTATGTGGATTTACTCCACGATGAAAAAGGCCGGTCAAATTCAAGTCTTCGTGCTCGGTTGTTCCCAGACATTTCTGATGCGCGTATGCGGTTGAAAGATTTGGAAGACTTCATTATGTCTCCAAAATATTTGGCAGTTCAAGATGAAGATGTTGTGATGCTTATCCAGCTTGTTTTTGTGTTGAAGGGACTCCACGGACGGGACGTTAAAACGTGCATTCCCGCTGCAATATACAAGCTTGCTAATAATAGAGATGATTGGAACAGGTATTACATTTAAATATTGTGTAAAAATAGAATACAATAATAATAACTATAATATACAATATGAAAATTGCAGGTTTGCATGGGGTACGTATTTTTGGAGGTATACTTCGCGGATGATGCGTGAAATGTTTAAGAAAATAGTAGAATTTAAACAATTCAAGGAGGCCAATCCCGAATCCAAGAAAATACACAAGTATACCGTTCCTGGTTTTATGCTGCCGTTTAAGGTTATTTTCTAATAAATTTAATTATTTATCATTGTTTTGTTTTTATACGATAATAACATTGAACTTCGGTTTGTAGTATAAAATATAATAGCATGATACTTAAATTTTCTTTCTATAGATCTGGATTTTGGAGACGTTCCCCGAGGCAACCAAATTTTATGTACGCATCCCGACAGAATTGTCGCGGATGAGGTCGTGGAGAAGTAAAACACCGTTATCTTGGGATAACTGTCGTCGAATAATCAACGTGCTTGTGGTATGCTTTTTATATTAAGGATTATTTATACTTACAAATTCCAACGTATTTTCATTTTAAACTAACAATTTGATTTTAATTATTGTAGCCTAACAACGTACCTATTCCAGTCATGGCAAATGGGACGGAGCTGATGTTGCCGTTTTATGTTCGCTATGTCAATTGGACTCTTAACCATGAAGAGTCTCCTCCACCGCAACATAGTCCGGTCCGAAATAGTCCACCTGTTGTTGCCTCGCCTCCTCGAAGAACTATGTACAAGTCGGATACATGTTCGACTAAATCTGCCACAAATGCTTCTTCCTCGCAACATCCTGAAATAGAAACAACTTATACGTCAAGCGACACATCAACGAGGGTCGTAAATAGCACAAAGGCATTAGTGAAGCGTCTACTAGAGCATCTAAAGTAGATCATTAACGGTTTGTAGAGGAGGAGGAGGAGGAGGAGGAGATGATAAATGAAGAGGATGAAGAACCATATTACCATGATACACAGTTCGACTATGGTGGTTTGGAGGAGAAAGTTGCGCCTACACCTACGCATGGTGAGCCGTCACAAGACGTGGGTGAACATGACACAAAAATAGTGACTCCTATTGGTAGGCCGCAACGAAAGAGGGTTGTTGCATGGTATCAGCGGACTCCGTTCACAGTGGTAAAAAACTCATATTTTAAATTTGGTATATTTCTAAAATATTACATTATTGACATGTTGATTTTTTAGATGCAATCGACAGCAAAATTGAAGAAAATCAGCAAGACAAGGAAGAAAAAAATAGAGGAGAGTCCTAAAAAAACAAATGAGGACATTGTCAATGCAGAGAGTAGTGACGTTTCAAACCATCTCTTGTTGGACAGTATTTATAGTAATAGTCCGATGAGTTTTTGGAAAGAATGGAGTGTGCTCTCTTCCAAACTCATCACTAAACATAGGCTGCATATTCTCCCACTAGATATGGGTTTTTGGTCGAGGTTACTTTCTGTTACTAACAAAGGGTGGTTACTTTCTTCGGTAACATTCCTTTAATTAAAATTTTAACTATTTTTTTAGACTAGAATTTATATAAATAATTCTAACATTTTTATCTTAAAATGTACAGCATATTGCGATATGGAGTTCCTTGTTGATGGAAAGGCGGCCGGCGAACGCTAGGTGGCCGATATTTCCACAAGAAATCAATTTGGAACCCGGAAAATCATTATTTTTAAGGAATGTAGCAAATGGTTTTGGAGGTTGTCATAAATGGAAGGATGTGGATATGGTTAGTTAACTTTAATAATTATTATTTTATAAATATAATATTACTGAAATTACGAGTATTTAATTTATATTATTTTTTGCAGGTTCTATTCGTAATAAATGTTATTAGTGCCCATTGGTTTATGGGGGTGCTACATTTAGATACCTGGAAAGTAGAAATTTATGATTCAGCACGAATTGCAGGTTACTTCTGAAAGTACTTAACTGGTGGAGAATTCACAAGTTTTGGAGATAGTATTATCTCAAAGTTAGATGTCATGAAGTACCGGAACCATTTCCCCGTTGGACACAAAGACAAAGCAAAGCTGGAGTTTGTTGATGTTGTAGATGTGCCACAACAAGAATATAGTCTTGATAGAGGGGATTGTGGAGTATTTGTATGCATGTTTATGGAAATGATTGTTTCGGGGGTACCAGTGAAGATTTCTATGGCACGTAAAGATGCGGGATTTCTCTACAGAAATAAGATGGCAAATGTTATTTGGGATACTATATAAGCCTAACTATATAAGTTGATATTAGGAACTTTGTATATATATATATATATAATAATATTAAATACTTGTTTCTAGTATGTAATTCAGCAACAAATGTTACGAAACCATACAATCAAACACAATAAACATTACAAATAAAATAAAAACATTACAAAAGAGTCGTCTACATGAAAAAGGTTTCTTACGACTAACAAACATTACATAAAACATTGGAAATAAAATAGTCGTCTACATGAAAAAAGGTTTATCTTTTACCAGATTCCAAACGTCCGTATACTCGAAATCAGTTCCATCAAACTCGCACAAGTAATATCCATTCACGTCTTGAAGAAGTTCTTCATCATCTGCTTGAGAGCGTCGCATTTTCTCATGATTGTAGCATCGATTGAACCATGTGACTTTAAACTTTAAATCCATCCATTTACTAACAATATCAGGTTTTAGTCGTTCTTGTCCTTGTCCGACCTGATAGTTGAACAAAGCTATTAGGCGGGACCATTCATCACCTACGAGGCAATGAGGGGGAGCCACTACTGGTAGACCCTCGTAAATGGTAATCCAGCATTGTGTTAGGACCAACAACTCTGTTGTCATCCATGGAGATGTACCATTTGTTGGAGAGGCTGCATTAGATGGATTTGCTGCATTCAAAGAACTTGGTACATTGGACGCCATTTTGTAAATTGATCTCTATTATCAATTAAAGATTTGAATTTCGTATAGATACTACTTTTAATATATATAAAAAGTTTCTCTATGATACCAATCATATTCGTTGATCATGTACCTCTAATTGGGACGTACATAACATCCATGTACATTGCGGTTGCTTTAGATGAAAATCATCAACCCCTTATCATAGCGTTTGCTTTGGGAACCATAAACTGTGACAATTCATGGTTATGGTTCATACGGACGCTTAAAGAATGTTTAGGTGACAATACAGAAGTTGGTTTCATAAACCATATGTCTGATTCCATAGACTTTGCAATTCAAAGAGTCTACCCTGATTCATATCATGGCTATTGTTGTAAAAATATAGCCGAGAAAATACGCGCTTCCACCGCGTGGAATACAGTGGTAGAGCAGTTGTTCTGGAAGACTTGTAAAGCGTATAATATGTCTGATTTTTATGCATGTTTGAACAACTTACAAAATCAGGTTAATGGGAATCATCTTCATTGGCTTGACAATATTCCCATTGCAAAATGGGTACGGGCTTTTTTTCCTAGAGTACGTTTCAATATTAAATTCATTGACATTCCGACGTTGTCAATTGGTTTAGAAGAAACACGCATGAGTTTCCAATAACAACAATCATTGAAATGGTCCATGACTCGATGCAAGCAATGTATCTTCAACGTGCTGCTTTTGGAGGTAATTATAAGTTAGGACATAACTTAAATGGTCAATTGATATGTTATTATACGTTATGCCATCATAATTTTTGTTTATTCATTCAGTACATTTCACAGGAGATTTTCATGGTCTTTTAACGCCTTATGCACTTAAGGTGATTCATAAAAGATTTATGCACTCGGATGGTTGTAGGATTAGGCATATTGTTAGCGACAAATATGAAGTGAGTAAGTATTCAACAACCGAATCTGTGCAATTAGATCGTGGTATTTGTAGTTGCGGTAAATGGCAAAAATGCGGTATACCTTGTGAGCATGCTATAGCTTCACTACAAAGGCTTGAAATTGCAGAAATCCATAGAATGGCAAATTTAAAGTTAAGCACCGCGGTGTATCGAAATGGTTATCAAACTGAGACGGTCAATCCTATTCCAACCCCCAGGCATTGGGAAATACCAGTTGAAAGTGTTGTGGTCTTACCTCCACGACAATTCAGTTGAACTATATTAATTTGTATTCAGTTGTATGTTAACCGTAGTTGTAATGGTCTGTTGGCGTTGTTTAGTTTTTAATAATAAATATTTACCTTTTAATAAAAAATGTTTGCCTTTAAATAAATAAAATATGGATGACAACGACTAGACAAACAACTCTGCGGACTGACAAACATTATTGCGAACTGACAAACACCTCTCTGCGGATGACAACGACTAGACAAACAGCTCTGCGGACTTACAAACACCTCTCTGCGGAGTTGAAGGGACTATATATAGTCATGGATGGTCGTTGGATTTTTGGTATAGAGTTATAAATATTTTATAAGTTTACAAATGAGTTCATCTTCAAGTTTGTATATTTGCTCGTGCAACGAAGTTGATTGTTTCTATTGTGATCCGATCGACCCTTTTCTTGCCCCGTCACCAAATTTAAGAGACGGGTATATGTCTGAGGATACTTTGCAACAACTACAATGGGCTGAAGAACAAAAAAAAAAGATAAAGCGTCATCTCGAACTCTCACCGAACGTCGTGACCTCATTGCGGCGGAGTGCAAAGAGGTTGAGGAAAGGATGACGAATACTAAACAAGAAATCAAAGATCATGAGGATTGGATAAAAAAAAAGCTAAGAAGAATATCAAACTGTCTGAAAAATGGCTAGCTGGCAAGGATGCGGAAATGGTAGAACTTGGGAGGCAAAAGGACCGTATGGAAGATAAAATACGAATTAGGGACGACTACATAACAATGGAGAAAGAAAAGTATCCTTTGCAATTCCCTTAAGTTAATTACTGTTGTTGTACGTGTGCAATTCCCTTAAGTTAATTACTGTTGTTGTACGTTTGCTATATATGTTTCTGGTTTGTTGAATGTATTATCTTCGTTTTTTAGTTAGTATTCTAAAACAAAACATAAATTGATATCCTCTAAAACAAAACATAAATTGATAATCATAATATTATCAATCATCTTTAAAATAAACAAACCATTTCAAAGTACACAAATTAATATCCTCTAAAACAAAACATAATTAATAATAAATACACCATCAATCATTCAAATCAAACGTTGAACAATAGTCTTCTCTCTGCGTCCCACTCGTCCAGCGCGTCTCTTGTGTCCCGTGCGTCTCTACCGTCTCTTGCGTCATTTGTGTCCCTTTCCCTTTCCCTTTTGTGTTACTACATGATGGCGCACTATTTGTTCTAGCCTTTTTTGGTTTCATTGGGACCAATGTTGGACAAGTCGCTGCATTATGTGTTGTACTATCACATCTACTACACCTTCTTACTATAGGTTCCTCACCTTGTGACGGGATACGATTTCTGTTTCTTGGTCTACCAGCTTGACGTGTATCCATTATCGGGGGTTTAACAACCATCATCTCAGAAGGAATCTCCCAATCACACGGTTCTGGAAGGGGGTAAACCGGCTCCTCATACGTACTCCGGTACGTTTCCATTTTGTAAGCATCTATAGCCAAATGTCCGAAGTTAGTTTTTTTCAAGTGCTTTAAGACCATTATGACATGACCACAAGGCAACCCAGTTCCTTCCCAATATTTGCATGTACAAGTCTCTTGCCTCAGATCAACTATGCCACCATGTTTGAAATCATGCACTTGATATATTGCATCTGAAACACCAGAAACGGACCATCCTGTCTTACGCTCTTCATTTTTACTAACTACTTTTTCAGCCCACTCGGTTAGCACTGTTGAACGTTTCCCTGTAAAGAATATATATATAATTAAATTATTATTAGAGATAATTAAAGTCTAAGTTAATTTCATATCTCCATCGATGCGACGCTTGTTACACCATTCCTGAGAAAGACGACGGAAGAACTCAAGAAGGGGTATTATAGGCATCTTCCTTGCATCTACAGATAAAGCGTTCATGGACTCTGCACTGTTGGAGGTCATGTAATCGTATCGTTTCGACGGGGAATATGCTCTAGTCCATTTAGCACGAGGAATTTCACTTAGATACGCCGCTACTTGCGGCCTAGTAGAACTAAATCTAGACCACAATTCTTCAAAAACATTTCTTTTGTAAGCTTTCACAAGCCTCCAAAACAACACTTTTGTTTTGTCATTTTTCCCAAACTTGTGTACTATGTTTCCTAGTAGATGAAAAGCACACACGCCATGATGAGCTTGAGGGAAGACATTTTCAATACTAACCCGAATTGCATCGGCCCGATCAGTTACAAAAGTCAATTCTTGACAATCACCAACACATTCATACAACTTTTCAAGAAACCATGTCCAAGTAAGACCACTCTCTTTTTTGCATATTCCGTGCGCAAGGGGCACTATCTGGTTGTTCCCATCCATAACTACTGCATGCAATATGGTTCCCATAAAATCACCCTTCAAATGCGCACCATCCATAATTATAACTTTACGACA